GGAGTACATCACCAAGGAAGTCTTCGTACTTCCTATAAGCTGCTAGGTGTTGTTATAAATACGTGGCAGAAGAGGGCACCAGGCAGCAAGAACTAAATTTTTACAAGCTCATAGCTTCTACAGTGCTAATAGCTTAATGTGACATGAAATGAAGAGAAAGACAGAAGGATGGCCGGAAAGAGTTTACGGTATTCAGAATGATGGGGAAGAGTGGAGAAGGAGAGAGATGATTGTCTGTTCTTAAGTGCTTAAGTTACTGTAACCACTATATAATCAAACTTCACCTAAACTATGGGCTTGGACAGACATCTAGGGTGCCTATACATATACTCTGATGGCTTCTGTTTAGAATGCGTCTGAGCAGACTCAATTAGTCTGTTTTAATCTGATTAATCAAGTTTGCTGGAGCATTCTAATTGGAACGCTCCATTCCAGTGTACTGCAGTGTCTCGTGTATTCAGCATCCTGCTTGAAAAAAAAAAGTCTGCAAAGCTCTCTGGACTGTGTATTCTAGGGGCCCATGGCAGCCCAGTGTCCACACTGCAGGCTCTTTCCTTTTTTGTCTGAACTTCTGTACAGACCAGTTTTTCTTTCAAGAAAAAAAATATGGGAGGGTTGTCCTGGATGATTTGAATATGTATCTGTAACCCTTGTCTGTGATTTTGCTTGCTGGACCGGTCAGCAGTGAGACGCTCCAAACATTTAAAAAGATTAACCCCATTGTTTTGCAATAAAGTGTGTAGGATGGAAACAAGTACTGATGGCTACTAGGCCTGTGCGAAACAGCAAGTATTTACTTCGGAGATTCAGAGGGACAGTGATTCAATTCGGTGACTCGAATCACTGTCCCGATCTGATTCAGCCGATTCAGATCCAGAGATTCAGCCCCGATTCGGGCATAGACTATGCGGGCAGCAGTCCTCCACAACTCTGGACACAGCTGCCTCCAGCTGGCAAGTCTGTTGTGGTGGGCAGGGTGGGGAGGGAAGGGGCATGGTGGGGGCAAATCAATGCCCCCACAGCAAGGGAGGGATTGGGGCTGAGACAAGCTGCCCAGCTGGGGCATGGGGACACGGGAGGAGAGGAGAGGGCTCCCACCACTGCATGCTGCCGTTCACTACCAGTCTGGGAGCTGCTTTTCTAGTGGCTCCTCCGGCGGCTCTCACTGCCGGTCCTGGAAGGCATGGGAGCAGGCATGTGCCCCCAGATCTGTACAAGGTGGCCTGGACCTGGCTGTGCTCTGGATGGGCAGAAGAAGGCACTGGGAGTAGGAGCTATGCCTTCCTGCCGCTCGCCCAGCCTCCCCCGCGCCTCCTGGACAAGCTGCAACTTCGCCCCAGCTGGGCGAGCAGTGGCAGGCCGTGGGGGTGGGCATATGAACCCGGATTGGGGTGGGGCCAGCAACAAGGGCTACAGGGAATTTAGGGGAGCTGCAGCCTCCCCATAGCCCATGCTCCACTGCACTATGCAGGGCAAGTGGAGCCAGGGCTGTGCTCCAGGCTGTGGCTGGGGCTAGCCACCTGGAGCACAGCCCTGGCTCCACCCACCCTTCGGAGCACAGCCCAGTGGCATCTGAGGCTAGCCTCCTGGAGCACAGCCCAGCCCAATCCGCCCCACGCAGATCCAGGGCACACGCCCACTCCTATGCCCTCCTGGACTGGCAGCAAGAGCTGAAAGAGCAGCTCCCGGACAGGTTGTACACAGTGGCGGGAGCCCCTCTCCCCGAGTCCCGCACCCCCCTGTCCCTTTCACCTTGGCTGGGCAGCTAGTCCCAGCCCCAATCCTTCCCTTGCTGTGGGGGCATTGATTTGCCCCCACCATGCCCCTCCCCTCCCCACCCTGCCCACTACAACAGACTTACCAGCTGGAGGCAGCTGTGTCCAGCGTTGTGGAGGACTGCTGCCTGTATACTCTATGCCCAAATCTCCAAATCTCTCCAAATCAATTTGGAGGCTTCTAAATCAATTTGGACCTTTTAATGGTTCTCCTGATTCAGTTTGGATTCAGAGATTTGGCCACTGAACTGGGCCAAATCTCCTCCAAATTGAATCAGCTACCGAAACTTCGCACAGCCCTAATGGCTACCTTCTGAATATCCAAGGATGGAAGTCTTTTGACGAGCAGATTAAACAGATATTTGACTGGGATTGTGTAGTTGGGAATGATCCTGCCTTGAGCAGGGAATTGGTTGACCTCCTTACACCTCTTCCAACTCTACTGTTTTATGTAGCAACCGTGTGGCCTAGTGAAGCCAGCTTCCACATATCTACCTCATCTAGCAATATTTTTTTTTCAGAAGGTGTCTTTCTGTTTGGTCTATGTTCCATAGGAAAAGGTGGAAGAAGGAAGGGCCAGTATCTACAGGTCCGTGATCACCAATTCCTCCAAGGAGATGTCATGCTTCAGTGACTTTCCAATGCCTGAACACTTTCCAAACTTCTTGCACAACACCAGATTCCTGGAATATTTGAAACTATATGCAAAGCACTTTGATCTTCTGAAGTACATCCAATTCAAGGTATGTTCTGATAGAAAGAGGGGATTGCTATTTTTTCCCCCAAAACATAAAAGCAACCATTTTACTTAAACTTTATAATTTTTCTCTTAGATTATGGAAAGCAGCAAAATAAGAAAGAACAGTAATGTCTTCATTGGAAAACACAGTGAATATCTTTTCTGTGATATCTAGCATCACTTCTGCCTCACAAAATGGTCACTGCTCCTGTCACCAGCTGACTTATAGAAATGTTAAGTTTCAGTGCACAATAAACAGAATCAGAGAATCTAGCTACATAATGTAAACCACAAATTTTGCAGTTGTGTCCAGAGCTACAAAAACATATCCACACTGTAACAATATGTCTGCCAGGGAACAGAGTTTTTTGATAATATGCTGGCTTCAAATATCCTATGGCGAGAAAGCATAACCAACTCTGGAAGAAATGCACACAGCTGGACAGGGATGAGACTGTTTCAGAGGACTTGGTCCTCAATTGTGTTTAGTACTAAGCATCTAGGACTAACTGCTATTTAGATGCTTAAATATCTTCCAGGACCTCACCCAGCATTACTGAAAAGGAGCACAGTTGATAGAGGGAGAGAAAAAAGTAGCAGGAAAAATGCCTAAATAGATAAGGACAAAGATTAGACATTGAAGAGATTCAGATTGGGATCCAGTTATGGTCTGACCTGTCCTAATTTGAACATTCACATCCAGGAGAAGAAGGGAAGTTGTGGAGTTTATGGAATTTACTCACTAAATCAGACTTTCCTATAGTAATCAAGGCACTGAGTGGTATAAAAAGATCAGCATCTGGGATAGTAGAAAAGAAATCAAAGTATCACTTCTCATTGGGAAAGTGGAGAAAACATTCCCAGGTTTTTCTGATAATCTTTTCATTTCTGCCCTTTGTTTTGACATTGACTAATGCACTTGGGCACTGCAGCTGTACATACAAAATGGCTGTCTATGCAGACAAAAAGCACAATTATCAAGTCAGTTATGCGAGAACTTGCCTCTTCTAGCTTTCTTCTGTAGTAGGCTTCTGGTCAGAATTTCTTACAGTTGCATTGCTGCCAATGATTCAGTTCCGTCAGTGGTACCACTTGGGAAACAGTAGTGTAGACAAGACGTTGGTATCAAGTGGCATTTTTACTGCTCTTGATCATGAGTTGAACAGCCTTAAGCAATGCCATATTAAAAGACCACTAACAGTTAGAAACTCCAGGCTTAGTGTTGACATTTTTTACAACCAACTGAGTTGAGAGGCCTGGTAGGAAACTTGTAGCATGGAAATTTAGTGTAGTCACAACTAAAGCATCACCAGTAGGCTTAATAGTAAACACCTAGTTCAGATGGTTTGGGACAGTTTATGTGCTCCTGTGTGCCATTTCAGCCTGTCTTCCATTCAGAGCTGGAATAAAAGCCATATATTGGGAAAGATGATCTTTCTTTTTAGCTAAGTGAAAGCTTGCATTCTGGAAATTCTCTCTGTCATTGAAGCTGGATAAATGTACCAACCAGACCAAATTTGACTCATCAATTATGTAGTTAATGTTATTTACATAAGGCAGTCCTGCTTGTATAGCCTAGAGTGCTGCTAGTTCTTGGAGTCTTCTGTGATAATAGACTTGTTGAGCACCTGTGTAGCATACTGTGTTGGGGCCAAAGTTGTGATGCATTTGCTCTGGTTTACTTTCAGACCACAGTCATCAGTGTAAGAAAATGTCAGGATTTCTCTACCATTGGTCAATGGATTGTTATCACTGAGAGCAATGGAAAGCAGGTATCAGCTACATTTGACGCTGTTATGGTCTGCATTGGTCACCATATAGAATCCTATGTGCCGTTGCAGTCTTTTCCTGGTAAGAGTCTTGTTTATAAAGCTGTGTGACAGTGTATATTTGAAAACTAGGTTAACTAGTTGCTAGAACATCACGTGGTAACAAACATCTCTTTTACCATCTCGCAAGAAAACTGGGTCCCAATTTATGTGCACTCTTGGCTCTGGGATTCAGGGCTTTGGCTTATACTTTTGAGAGTTGCACTGGCACTTCTGTACAAAGGAGGCTACAGTTTTACTGATGCTATACTCCCAAGGAGAGCTGTGCAAAACAGCACCGTTCCGTTTCGCCTTGAGTTTCAACGGTTCGACAGAACGGTGTTCCATTTCGAATTTCATTTAGATTCAAAACAGCTGTTCCGTTCCGTTCTGTTCTGTCGAAACAGAAAGGCTGCTTCAACTTTTCGCTGGGGACAGCGTGATCTAGCACCAGGGATGGGAAGTCAGCCCAGCTGGGCTGACTTCTCGACCCTGGGGTGATCTAGCGCTGAGAATGGGAAGTCAGACCAGCTGGGCTGACTTCCCAAACCCGGCACAATCTAGCGCCAGAGATAAGAAGAAGCCCAGCTGGGCTGACTTCCCGAACCTGGTGCGATCTAGAGCTGGAGATGGAAAAAAGCCCAGCTGGGCTGATTCCCTGACCCCGGTCCAATCTAGCGCCAGAGATGGAAAGATGCCCAGCTGGGCTGAGTTTGTTTCCCCAGTGCTATGGTCAAAATGTTTTAATTAGCCTCGTTTTGTTTCGAGGCTGTTTTGCAGCCCTTTGTTTCATTTTGATTTTGCTGTTTCGACCTCAAAATGAGTCAAAACACTGTCAAAATAAAATGGTCGGCAACATTTTGCACAGCCCTACTCCCAAGCCCTCTTCTGCTTGTCTTTGAAAGGAAAGTGACAGCTGAATGCAACAATTTCATGTCATCCTGAAAAGAGCAAAGGAATAGCACAGGACTTCTGGCCACTACCCCACTGTGACCTGTCTTTGCACATTCAAGGCTTTGAAGCTGTTCCTGTGCACCTGTTGGCTGCTCTGTTTTTCCATCTGTTCAAACATTGCATGGCCAAAATGTAATGATTCACCAATATCTCATTATTCCTTCTTATCCCTCCCATGGGGAAGATCTAGGCCCTTTGAAGTATGACAGTAGGTTATTTGATTGCTTTTATCAATATTTCAGCAAACATATTGAGCATGGTCTCATGTTCACTGAAGCCAATGTAAGTGTGTCGCTTGACTTCAGTAGTTTTGAGACCCATACTGCTGATTTGTATTACAATGATTTCATATTTTAAATTAGATCACTAAAATTCAATAAAGAAACATAGTACTAGAAACCCTACAGGACTCAAATGGAATTATTTTCGAAAGCCTGTTCTTGGAATAACAAGATAGTTGCATGATGTCATTCTCTCTCCTGATTGGGCGGCAAAACCACTCCAACTTTAATTCTACTAAATCCAGAGTTGGAGTTATTTAAGGTCAAGATGGGTTGCATTCTGACTTTGTCCAAAGTCTTAGTTCAGTTTCTACTTTATCTAAACTAGTTCTTTTAGTCCCATTAATGAGGCAAAATTGTTAGCACAATCTTAGTTTGGCACAGACACGGGACATCAGAGGGCAGTTTGTCCTTTCAAGTGGAGCAGTTAAACATACCAAAGCCCTTCAAATATTTAATCTGTTCTTTACAAATGTCATGGGCCAGCTGGCATTCCCACACAGTTAATTGTCAGAGTGAGAAGTGACTGAAGATGAAAAAACTCAGCCCTCCACTGCAGTGAGTTTACACACACAACATGGGGTGGGAGGAGGACAAATGACTTAAATTTACCCTTCCAGTTCCCTGATCCCCGATGAGATGGAGCTAAAACATCTCTGGAATAACTTTGTTGTGTCTTCTATAGCCAGTGTTTTGCTCTGTTCTGCCAGATCCATTCTCCACACTTCCAAACAGCCCTTTTCAGAAGTGAGACTCTCAAGCTACTTCTTTAGAGCAATACTAATCCTGTTCTCTTCCTAAGCAATAAATAAAACTGGGAGTGTCTGCACAAGACACTACACTGTGCAGTAGACTGCACAGATCAGGGCAAAGGGGGCACATGCCCCCCCATCAACCAGTCAGCAACTGGGGGAGTGGGTCCCCCTGTGGCCAATCTTGCTGACTGGGGGGAGGGTCCCCCTGCAGCCAATCTCATTGAGTGGGGGGAGTCCCTCCCCACAGCAAAACTTACCATCCAGTGACCAGCCATGGTGCTTCCAGAAGTGGCCGCAGGCTACATCCGGTGCTCCCACTCCCCAACTGGTGCTCACAGGGGGGGACACCAGCGTTCCCACACTGCCCCTCCTGCCCATCACCTAAGCGGAGAGCACAGCCAGTCAGGAGGTGCACGAGCAGTCTCAGGGAGTGCATGTGCCCCCTACACATCACCACTGCATGTAGATGCACTGCCAGGGAAAGCTTACTGCACAGCAAGCTTACAGCACATTAATAGCACATGTAGACATGCCCACTGCCTTGTTTCATTTAACATTAAACATAATTAGATATATATTTTTGAACCAAATCCCTAGATCTAAGTGTCTCTAAACAGTAGGTACGGGTAAAAAATTGAAATAATCAGACTTGTAAAACTATAATGACCCAAACTAACTTCTACTCATCCCATCCTCTTCCCTCCCCACCTCAAACGTGGGTGCAAACACTCCTCTATTGTCAGACATTCCTGATCTTGGCTCTGAATATTACAGGTCAAGTCCATCCCTAACACTAATATTCTGATTCTTTCTTCTGCCCTTGTAGGAATCGAAAAGTTCAAGGGCCAATATTTCCATAGCCGGCAGTACAAAACCCCAGAAGGATTTGAAGGGAAGACCATTTTGGTGGTTGGCATGGGGAACTCTGCATCAGATATAGCAGTGGAACTCTGCCAGAGAGCCACACAGGTAGAGTGCTTTAGACTGCCATGCTTAAGTGGCAGGGTATGGGTTTTTTTTAAGGTTTAATTGCAGGTGTCAGTTTCAAATGAAGTAAGCTGTATGCCACAACCATGTATTTTGGCCTAGGAAATTAAGAGCATTCATCTCAATGGCTTAAATATCTATGAGAGTGAGCAGCATCCTGCAACACTGCAGTTCAGTTTGTTCTTCTGGATGTGTCCTGGAGCAAAAAGAAAAACATGGACAAATTAGTAAAGCGATGTAGTTAGCTGGACATGACGGTGGTTCTTTTTTGTTATATGTCTTCCAATAGTGCCTATTAACCCCAGCAGAAATTGGGAGCATTCTGTTTAGAGCACTGTATATGGGAATGCACCCAGTAAAATATTTTACCTTGGTAAGCCTACAATTTAAATAGACAAGGTAAACTTAATGCAAAAACCTCCCAAAAAACCCAGCTGTAAAATGAGAATTGAGGACTATTATGGTAAAGTTCCTTGCTTAAGGAAGGAAAAAATTCCTGGAAATAAAACAATTTTGGACATTGCATAGAATTAAAAAATGTTTTGTTTTGTTTTATTTTTAAAAGCCCCAAAATGAAATTAATAGAGAGAAAACCAATACATAAACATACAGGAAATCTATGGCAGAACAAGGAACTGAATCTAGATTTCTGCCTCAATTCCATGTGTTAACTGTGAGGACCACATTTCCTTTGAGATTGGTGCATCTCCTATATATTGCTGCTGTTTTTAACAAACCACCCCAAGTCAATGTTTTGAGAATTTGAAAAGGAATCTCTCCAGTTTTTCTTCCCAGCTTCACTAATTCTCTTGAGGCACTGGTTTTATTGGTGCTTCACAAGAAATTATTGTTTTATCTTGTGAAGAATTTTGACATGTTGAAGAAAACATTTGATAAATCATAAAGTTTAAAAATACATATGTTGGGTCAAGGAAAATGCTTTGCTCAATCTGAAAAAAAGACATATTTCATCTTGGATGTGTATTTAAGCTCTCTTTTTTATGTTGATTTTTTTTTTTATTTCAAAATCTCTTTAAAAGTCTTTTTAATGTTGAAATGAAAAGCCATCTCTTTCAGTGTGTTTATCCTTTATCAACAATTTGACAAAAGAAACACATTTGAAAAATACTTTGATTTTTGCCAAAATGGCAAATTTTTGCCAGAAAAATGTTTTGGGTGAAAATTTACCCAGTTCTAGTTTTCTATATTGTTTTGGCTTTGGTGACCTTAAACAATGAGAAGATTAAACCTAGACTTAGATTTGCAATACAGCAATAAATATGCCATAAAAGATTATCAGTACTTAAAACTGAATTCTTTATTGCCCTGTAGGTGTATCTCAGCACCAGAGGAGGTTCATGGGTAATGAGCCGTGTATATGACAATGGTTACCCTTGGGACACAGTAATTCACACACGATTTAGTAACCTCATCAGAAGTTCCCTCCCCTGGACCCTTTTGAAATGGGTGACAGAAAAAAAGATGAATGAATGGTTTGACCATGAAAACTATGGCCTTGTGCCTCAAAACAGGTACTCATTTTTTTTAATGCACCTTAAATCATCTAATCCATTGGACAATGCAAAGGAAAGGGAATCTAAATCATTTAATTATTACAAGTATGGGGTCAAATCCTTTCTTTAATCTGTGCTTTATTCATAACTCTTTATTAATTGCCTTAGTAGATCAGATACAGGAACTAGCTCATCCTTGTAAGTACCCTATTCATTGTTCTGTGCATTCCTAACATATTCTCACTTGTTCAATGTATGTGGTTCCAGTCTTTCCAATCTACCCCCTAGTCACTTTACCCATCGTTTTACAGACCCTTTACAATTCTGTTGTCTCTCCTTATGTTTTGTTTTTCAGCACCCCCTTCTCACTCACGCACTTAGGAGCCTACCCTTGACTTAAATGGGAGATTTGAGGAGATCAACACTAAGGAATTTAGATTTAAGCTCATTTATTAGGGGAGTATTTAACTTCTTGTTGTATCTTATCCATGTACAACATTACTGACTTTTCTTGATTTTATAAGGTTCAATATTTGCAGGGTTTTTTCCTGTAGAAATAGGTGAGGAAAAATAATAGTTTCCTAGTAGGTAGGGTCAGAAGGGACCTGAGCAGATCATCAAGTCTTCCCCCTGCCATAGGCAGGAAAGAATGCTGGGGTCAACTGATCCCGGCTAGGTGTCTGTCTAGCCTCCTTTTGAAGACCCCCAGGGTAGGAACGAGCACCACTTCCCTTGGAAGTTGGTTCCAGCTCCTAGCCACCCTGACTGTGAAGTAGTGCCTCGTGATGTCTAGTCTGAATCTGATCTCCATCAATTTATAGCCGTTATTCGTTGTTACTCCCGGTAGTGCTCGGGGGAACAGGGACTCTCCCATTGCCTGCTGGTCCCCCTTGGTCAGTTTATAGATGGCCACCAGATCCCCTCTCAACCTTCTCTTGTAGAGGCTGAACAGGTTAAGGTCCCATAGCCTCCCCTCATAGGGCCAGCCCTGCTGCCCCCTGATCATGTGAGTGGCCCTCCTCTGGACCCTCTCCATGTTGTCCACATCCCTCCTGAAGTGTGGCGCCCAGAACTGGACGCAGTACTCCAACTGTGGCCTGACCAGTGTCGCATAGAGGGAGAGGACCACCTCCTTGGACCTGCTCGTGTTGCATCTGCAGATGCATGACAAGATGCGGTTAGCCTTCCTGACCGCACCCCCACATTGTCAATAATGACTCCAAGATCCTTTTCTGCCTCTGTGCTGATGAGAAGGGAGTTCCCCAGCCTGTAGGTCTGCTGCTGGTTCTTCCTCCCCGGGTGCAATACCTTGCACTTGTCAGTGTTGAAACCCATCCTGTTCTTATCTGCCCACTCCTGTATCCTGTCCAGATCTAATTGCAGCCTGTCCCTCTCCTCTAATGTGCCCGGTTCTCCCCACATTTTAGTGTCATCCACAAATTTGAACAAGGTGCTTTTCGCTCCCTTGTCCAAGTCGCTGATGAAGATATTGAACAGCGCAGGCCCAAGGACCGAGCCTAGGGGAACCCCGCTGCCCACATCCCTCCAGTTCGAAAATGACCTGTCCACCACCACTCTCTGGGTGTGGCCCTCCAGCCAATTAGTGCCCCATCTGACCGTGTAGGCATCGACACCACAGTCACCTAATTTTTTAATGAGAATGGGGTGAGAGACAGTGTTGAAGACCTTCCTAAAGTCCAGAAAGACTATGTCCACCATGACACCTACATCTAAGGATTTTGTGACCTGGTCGTAGAAGGCCACCAGGTTGGTCTGACAGGACCTGTCTCTAATGAACCCATGTTGATTGCCCCTAAGCATAATCTCCCCTACTGGTCCCTTGCAGATGTGCACCTGGATAATTTTCTCGAAGAGCTTCTCCAGGACTGAGGTAAGACTAACAGGCCTATAGTTTCCTGGGTCCTCCTTCCTCCCTTTTTTGAAAATGGGGACCAGACTGGCCCTTTTCCAGTCCTCTGGCACCTCACCAGAGCACCACAAGTGCTCGTAAAGCAGTGCCAGGGGTCCCACAATGACCTCTGCTAATTTCTTCAGCACTCTGGGGTGGAGATCATCAGGACCTGCTGATTTGAACATGTCAAGTCCCACCAGAAGTTCCCTAACTAGGTCCTCACTGGCCCTGGGCCTGGCTGTGCCTCCCCTGGGACCATCAGGGATCACAGTGAGGGGGATGTCCCGGTCCCTGCTCAGAAAAATGGAGGCAAAGAAATTGTTACAGAGGTTAGCTTTGTCATCTGGTGCGACCACCAGATTTCCAAACATCCTGCAGAGGCCCCACGTTACCCGGTACCTTCTTTTTACCCCCTGTGTATTTAAAAAAGGACTTCTTGTCCTTGATCCAGGTTGCTAGTCCCAGTTCCACCTCTCCTTAGCCTTCCTAACAGCCCCCCCTACAATCTCAAGCCAAGGAGGTATAATACTCCCTGGTGATGGCCCCTCCCTCCCATTGGGTGTACGCCTCCTTTTTTGCTTTGAGATGTTCCTGGGTGCTTTTGGTGAGACATGGGGGCTTTTGAGCACTCTTGCCCCCTTTGATCCATGTTGGGATTGTCACCCTTTGGGCTTGGAGGATCATCTCCTTAAGGAACGACCACTCTTCTTAATACCACTACAGTTCTGTACAACATCCAGTTTGGAACACATTGAAAAACAAATGTTCTTTTTCTTCAGTTTTCCTTTCAAAAGGTGATGATTGAGGTGATTCAATATGATAGTTAAGAGATAATATGCTATCTACTATATAGCTGCTTAAATCAAAGCCACTGTTCACAGATGTATCTGATGAGCTCCATTCCCCCCCGCCCCTCCCCCCCACACACACACATCCCTGTTCCTATCTTCCTCTTCACTTTCCTGCCACACCTTCATGTTAGAGAAAATACAAGAATGGGGAGGTTAGTTGTCAATCTGGTCTGCCTCAATACAAGTCCAGTGAAGCATCATCCACAGGGCTCCAGCTTCCCTAC